AGCAGTTTCAGAGAAACTGCTGTGTTTATGAATGGGTTAAGCCTTCCCCTATTTCCTCTAGTGGCTGTCCCATTGACAGCCGCTTGAGGTGCTTGCGTGCTTCTCATTGTGATTTTCACAGTGAGAGCACGCCAGCGTCCATAGGAAAGCATTATGAATGCTTTCCTATGTGACCGGCTGAATGAGCGCGCAGCTCTTGCTGTGCGTGCGCATACAGCCGACAGGGAGGAGAAGAGGAGGATTGGAGGAGGAGAGCTCTCCGCCCAGCACTGGAAAAAGGTAAGTTTTACCCCCTTTCCAGAGCCGGGCGGGAGGGGGACCCTGAGGGTGGGGGCACCCTCAGGGCACTATAGTGCCAGGAAAACGAGTATGTTTTCCTGGCACTATAGTGGTCCTTTAAAGGACCACTACAGACACCCAGATCACATCAGCTCAATGAAGTTGTCTGGATGTCAGGTTCCTCTAGTTTTAACCCTGCAGCTGAAAACATAGCAGTTTCAGACAAACTGCTATGTTTCACTGAGGGTTAATTCAGCCTCTAGTGGCTGTCTCACTGACAGCCGCTAGAGGAGCACACTGAACGTCCATAGGAAAGCATTGAGTAATGCTTTCCTATGGGCGGTTTGAAATCGTCTTGGCGGTGCATTGAGGAGCTGAGCTGAGGATCCTCCAGTGCCAAGGGGAGTCAGCTGGAAGGTAAAGTGCTGAAGACACGCACACACACACACACTTACAGGCAGCATACACACTAGCTAACAGACACACACATTTACTGACAGAGACACAGCGACAGACAGACATACACACTCACTTACAAAACATACACTCTCATTGACAAACACACTCACTAACAGACATCAAACAGACTCACTAACACACACTCAGTAAGACACACACAGTAACACACTCACTGACACTCACTAGCAGACACACACACTAACACTCACTCTAACACTCACTCACTCTAACACTCACACACACTAACACTCACACACACTAACACTCACACACACACATGATTTTTTTGTTGTTTTTTTTTTTAAATGTAATCCCCCCAGCCTCCTTACCTTTTGGAGTGCTGGGGGAATTCCCTGGGGTCCAGTGGTGCTGCTGGGCGGGTGGCCGGTCGGGCAGGCAGGCGGGCGCGCGAGGGAGCACTCACTGCTTCCTCTTCAGCTCCCTCGCGCGCCGCGTAGGGATGCCGGCGCCGGAAGATGACGTTACAAAGTATCCATATATAATATGCTGATTAAATTGTGTACTTAGTTGACATTTGCAACTTGCAACTGGTATATCTAGCATACAGAAATAAGTTAAAACTATGCCAAGTCAGTGGCTACATACCGGGTCGCAGGGGCGGCCGGGCCCCCTGGTGGGCCGGGCCCGGTCGCAGCCGCGACCCCTGCGACCCTGGTATGTACGCCACTGACTTGGCATAGTTTTAACTTATTTCTGTATGCTAGATATACCAGTTGCAAGTTGCAAATGTCAACTAAGTACACAATTTAATCAGCATATTATATATGGATACTTTGTTATTATCTACAAATGGTGTTATACTACCATATATAATCTTACATGTACTTCCAGATTGGCGGTGATGTAGCAAAATGTAGTTCTGCAAACAAGAGGCCTCGGACCAGCTCTGCACAATGTCTTTAGAAATATTACGATTAGAGTTGAGCGAACCCGGACTGTAAAGTTTGAGTTCGAATCGAACATTACGTTTTTTGGACCCCGGACCCAAACACGGGCATATCACTGTATGTTCGGGTTGGAGTTAGGTGTTTGGCGATTTAATGGTGCGTTTTGAAAGGCTGCAGGGCAGCCAATCAAGAAGCGTTTGACTCGTGTGCCCTTAAAAGCCATCACAGCCGTGCCTATTAATGGCATGACTGTGATTGGCCAGTGCAGCATGTGACCCAGCCTCTATATATAAGCTGGAGTCGTGTAGCGACGCATGCACATGAGCTCTTATTAGTGTAGGGAGAGGATGCTGCCGCTGTGAGGGACAGCTTAGGAAAGAATTCTACTAACTAGTACATTAGTGGGGTGCACTTCATATCTGAGAGTCAAATAGAAGCGTCAAGTACCGCGGTTACATCGAAGTTTTAAAAAGTAAATTTTTTTTTGGGTGCTAAATAGAACATTAGTGGGGTGCCCTTTATATCTGAGAGTCAAATAGAATTGTCAAATACTGCTGTCACATTGCAGTTTTAAAACTTAAAATATTTTGGGTGCTAAACTGCTAAATAGTATTTTAGTGGGGTGCACTTCATATCTGAGAGTCAAATAGAAGCGGTCAAATAGTGCGCTTACAGCGCAGTTGTAAACATTCTAATTGTTTTGGTGCTAAACTGCTAAATAGTACATTTTGGGGCCTGCTCTTCATATCTGAGAGTCAAAAGAAGTGTCTAATAGTGCGCTTACAGTGCACTTGTAAAAATTCTTATTTTCTGCGTGCTAATCTGCTAAATAGTACATTTTGGGGCCTGCTCTTCATATCTGAGAGTCAAATCAAAGCGTCTAATAGTGCGCTTACAGCGCAATTGCAAACATTCTAATTTTCTGGGTGCTAATCTGCTAAATAGTACATTTTGGGGCGTGCACTTCAAATCTGAGAGTCAAATAGAGGTGTCAAATACTGCGGTTACAGTGCAATTGTAAACATTCTAATTGTTTTGCTGCTAATCTGCTAAATAGTACATTTTGGGGCGTGCACTTCAAATCTGAGAGTCAAATAGAAGCGTCTAATAGTGCGCTTACAGCGCACTTGTAAAAATTCTTATTTTCTCGGTCCTAATCTGCTAAATAGTACATTTTGGGGCCTGCTCTTCATATCTGAGAGTCAAATAGAAGCGTCTTATAGTGCGTTTACAGAGCACTTGCAAATATTCTTGTTTTCTGGGTGCTAATATGCGAAATAATAAATTTTGGGGCGTGCACTTCATATCTGAGAGTCAAATAGAGGCGTCAAAAACTGTGGTTACAGCGCAATTTTAAACATTCTAATTGTTTTGCTGCTAATCTGCTAAATAGTAAATTTTGGGGCCTGCTCTTCATATCTGAGAGTCAAATTGAATCGTCTAATAGTGCACTTACAGCGCACTTGTAAAAATTCAAATTTTCTGGGTGCTAATCTGCTAAATAGAACATTTTGGGGTGTGCACTTCATATCTGAGAGTCAAATAGAGGCGTCAAATACTGCGCTTACAGCGCAATTGTAAACATTCTAATTGTTTTGCTGCTAATCTGCTAAATAGTACATTTTGGGGCCTGCTCTCCATATGAGAGTCAAATAGAAGAGTCTAATAGTGCGCTAACAGCACACTTTTAAAAATCTGTATTATCTGGGTGCTAATCTGCTGAATAGTACATTTTGGGCCGTGCACTTCATATCTGAGAGTCAAATAGAAGCGTCTAATACTGCGCTTATAGCGCACTTGTAAAAATTCTTATTTTCTGGGTGCTAATCTGCTAAATAGTACATTTTGGGGCCTGCTCTTCATTTCTGAGAGTCAAATACAAACGTCTCATAGTGCGCTTACAGCGCACTTGTAAAAATTTGTATTTTCTGGTTGCTATTCTGCTAAATAGTACATTTTGGGCCGTGCACTTCATATCTGAGAGTCAAATCAAAGCGTCTAATAGTGCGCTTACAGCGCTCTTGTAAACATTCTAATTGTTTTGCTGCTAATCTGCTAAATAATACATTTTGGGGCCTTCTCTTCATATCTGAGAGTCAAATCGAAGCGTAACTTTGATTCGAATTTACTACATCGGTCACTTGTAATATTGTTTCACACCTACAACACTTGTTATACAGATCTAAGTGATAGAAAACATATTGATATTTTCTACACTAGAAACTACCAGATAACAAGCTGCTATATTTAAACCAGTTATCAATAGCTAAGAGGTGCTTAAACAATATTGTAATTCTGGGGCAATACCCTCACAAGTCAAACTGAGAGGTCAGTTTATAGGGAAAACTGTTGCCTGGATACAATTCTAAAACAATTTCCATATGTCCTTTGCAGACTTTACATGCTGGAAAAACTCAGGTGCCAACTGCTATGGCTTTCTGCAGTGTGCATACCGGCAAGGAGGGCAGGGTTGAGGAGTGGGTGGAAGATGATGTGGAGGATGATGAGGTCCTAGACCCCACATGGAATCAAGGTCATGCGAGTGACGTGTGCAGTTTGGAGGAAGAGGCGGTGGTCGCACAGAGGCACCAGCACAGCATAAGAGGGAGGAGGGTGCAAAAGCGGAGCGGCCGTCCCCTAGCGCAAATCGGCATGTATTATCTTTAGAATTCCCACAGTTATCCAAATAACAGTTGAAGCGATAAAAAGAACCATAACAGATTTAATGAGCCATTCCCAGTTTCGCAGTCCGGTGACCGGGACCCAGACATTGTCTGGGCGGCGGTCGGACGACCGGGACCCAGTATGCCTGATGTAGAAGTTAGGAGTCACAGTATGGAATGGATTAGCAGAGTCTGGTGCAGGGTACCCGCATGCCCCGTGGTGTTGAGCAGCAGCGTTTGTGTGGCCACATACCAGGACCCTGAAACAGCTTCAGTAAAAAGAGTACTGGATACCAGAAGCCATCACCAGACTGACCTGCAACTTGGAACAGGATGTGACATTCACTGTAGCGACTATGCGCGCTTTCGGCGTTCTCACCCTGCTGCTGCTCGCCTGTCTGTGCTGCAGTGTAACTTGGGCCTTTCCACTCACTGCCTCATATGCGATGTGCCCACAAGGTGGAACTCCACCTTGCACATGCTGGAGAGACTGTTTGAGCAGCAGCAGGCGATCGTGAAGTTTCAGCTCCAACACGCACGGGTCAGTGGCTCTGCACCAGACTTCCCTCCAATCGATCAGAGTTAAAGGATTTCAAGTGGACTCATTACAATTACAGGGCCTCTAAAGAGTCCTGTATTGTTATTTGTTGTCACTACCTTCCCGCGTTGGGAGTGGGTCATTTGCGCGCCTGCTGCCCTTCTTGCATGTGGTAGCCGTTTGTCAGGGTCCCTGTATGGAATCGAACACTGATTCCCCATTACCAGTGGTCACCATGGTAGGCGCAGTCAATGACATCGAAAGTTGATATGGATTGACATACGAATTAGTCATCACGCCTTCTCGTTGGCAAGCACATTGAAAAAGTGCTCTAGCATGACGAGCTAGATGATCTCCTCCGGGAACTTGGATTGATGGGAGTTGAGCCAGTTCTGGGTGGCCCTTGTGATGCCATGGTGTATACCCAGATATATCAGAGCTGCTGCAGAAAGTGCGTGCCTTCTGTACGCGCTTTTGGCATCTCGCCCTGCTACTGCTCGCCTGTCTGCGCTGCAGCGTAACTTCGGCCTTCCCGCTCACTGCCTCATCAGACTGTGCGAGCAGCAGTAGACGATAGTGGAGTTTCAGATGCAGCACGCACGGGTCAGTCGCTCTGCGGAACAGTTTTCTTTTTTTCTATGTCCCAATATTTTGGGGGCTACCCCAATTAAAATAAAAAATAGATACATAAAAAAGTGTTGGCTACCTCCTCCTCTTCCACTGCCGCTTCCACCTACACCGCCACGGTCACCGCCTCCTCAACCTATGGGTCACTTAGTATAAACTATGTACACAATAGCAGAGGCTTGTGAAGGCCTTTTCTCCATGCATCAGGACTGCAAGAAATGCACCACAGACCGCAATGGTTCTTTTTTTGTATGTCCCAATATTTTGGGGGCTACCCCAATTAATATAAAAAATTCGAACGGATTCGAATGATTTTTGGGTATGTTTGTATTTGAAATGTGCTGATTAATAATATGTGACTTTTATTAATATTGGATGTATAGTTTTAGAGTTATGAAAGTTGGGTAAAAAGTATGTTTTAAACTGTACGGCTAATTGTTTTACATCTCAGGCTAAGGGGAGGAGATGTGTGGGATGTAACCACTGTGTGATTGGGTAATTCATAATTGTCTGTGGGCGTCTCCCTTGCATGCGAGAATTGCATAAAAGCAGAGTGTGTGTCATTAAAGTTCTACTTCACCCTCAATTTGGAGTGTCGTCTCTTACTGGGGGAATCTGCTACAAGGGATTGCTATGCTATTCATACTCCCTTGCTATATCACTAATAAGATCTTGTAAGAGCTTGTTCCTGTTCTGCTACCTGAAGGAGTCTACGGTGGTTATGGTGTCTGCTGGAATGCTTGGAGTCCTCAGGAGGCGCTAGGAGCATCCTCCAACGGAGGTAACCAGTCGGGGTGCCAGGTGATCCGTTACACTTGTTAAGGCCTATTCTCCATGCATCAGGAGTTGAGCATTTCTCCATGCATCAGGACTGCAAGATATCCATCGCAGGCCGCAAATGTATATATGTCCCAATATTTTGGGGGCTACCCCAATTAAAAAAAAAAAATAATAAAAAATTAAAATAAATAAATATATATATATATATATATATATATATATATAAAAAACAGTGTTGGCTACCTCCTCCTTCTCCACCGCCGCTTCCACCTACACCGCCACGGTCACCGCCTCCTCAACCTATGGGTCACTTAGTATAAGTTATGTACACAATAGCAGAGGCTTGTGAAAGCCTTTTCTCCATGCATCAGGAGTTGAGCTCAGTTTGAACAATGAAAGAGAATACCCTGCACTCCAACCCTCTCTCAAATGGATAATTCTGGTGATCCTCCTGGCAGCCATGCTTTAGATTTTGATTTATGTTCTTCCAAAGCTAAAATCAAAGATTCCATTTTATGGCTCGGCTGTATTTTTAATTTTTATGTTATATTAAGTGATTTCCCTATCCACATTTGTTTGCAGGGCACTTGTCCTACTCTTACTCCCATTGTACTTCCCTTTGCAGCCCTCTAGCCCTTTCCAGGACTTTTTCAGAGGCATTTTTGAGGCCAAAAGTTCGGGTTCCCATTGACTTCATCGGGATTCGGGGTCAAGTTCGGGGTCAAGTTCGATCACGAACCTGGACTTTTTTTCAAAGTTCGGCCGAACCTGTCGGACCTGAACATCCAGGTGTCCACTCAACTCTAATAACAGCAACTCCACCCTGTTTGCCCATCGGGGCGCTTGCCGTGTAGTATTGGTTGTAGTGTCGGCTCAGTAGAGGGAGCGGTTTGCTTTGGGTGAAGTGGGCTTCCTGAAGGAGTAGTATGTCCGCCTTGGTTCTGTTGGCCCAGCGTAGGAATTGATGTATTTTGGAAGGGTTATTGAGGCCTTTGCAATTGTTAGATACGCAGTTGAGAAAACTGGGTTTGGTCTGTCTCCCTGGTCCTGCTCGTAGGAGGCCACAGTCAGGGTCATGGGTGGTCTCTGGGGCCATTTTGTAAGCTGTTGAGGTGGAGGGGTGGAGAGAAAGAAAGAGGGGAAAAAAAGAGGGGTTCTAGGACTGGGGCAGGGGGGGGAGGTTTACAATGTTCCGGGTTTGCCTGGTCTTAATTGGAACTTGCCAGGTTCTGTGGGGGCGAAGTGTCCCCGGACTAGTCTTGGGGGTAAGGATGTGTCCGGGGAGTGTGGAGAGGTTGGGTATGAGTTAGTATAGTTGGTTGTGGTTGGTTTGGGGTGGTGTTGGTGTCTCTCTGGGGTGTTGGGCCAAACGGTGTGTTAGGGCCCTCTCCCTGGGCAGTGCTGATGTGTGTTGGTCATTGGTGATCTATTATGGGGGGTGTAACTGTGCTGGTAGGATTGAGTTTGTTGTTGTGGGGGTGCCGTCTTGTTTGTTTTCGGGTCTTAGGTTGTGCAATAGTGTATTGTGTGTGAGGGTGTTGTCATCATCTGCGTTGTGGTGTGTCGCCTAGGTGGGGATATTGGGTGTGGGTGTCTGTGTTAGCATGAGGTTGTCTTATATGTGTGGGCGGTTGTTGACCGGTTGGGTCGCTAAGTGTGTTGTTTGTCAGGTATGTGACTATGTATGGTTTGGCCTTATGTGATGTTCGTGGTTGGGGTTGGGGTTGGGCCTGTTAGTGCCGTGGTGGCTGGATACCTGTGTTCTGATTACTGTCGGGAGCACTGGTTCTGTTGTTCCTTTGGGCCGTCTGTGTGCCCTGTTAGGTGTGTATTTCCCTGTCGTGCGTTCAAGTGGGGTGGTGATAAGTGGGGTTTTGGGGTCTCCGCTGGGTTGGGGATGGAGAGGCTGCTAGTGCGTGGTTTTACAGGGCCTCATAGTGGTTTCCCTGTGGCTGGGTGTCCATTGGCTAGAGTGTGTTTTGGATCTCGGGTCCCTGTAGTCGTCCCGTGGGTTGGCCGTAGGTTGGTGGTAGTTTGTGGGTGGGCTCTAGTGGGCCTGCGGTGTAGGTGTTTTGTGGTTGTTTGGTGAGTTGAGATTTGTCTCCTGGGGATGGGTCCCGTTCTATGTGGAGGCTGAGGTGGGTGGCTGCATACAGTTTGCTGTGCAAGGCCATGTCTTGTGCCCAGATTGGCTGTTCTGTTACGGGTTTAATCCCGCTCCAAGGGTGAAGGATGGGGTTGGGCCATGTTCTGAGTGAAGCCTAGAATGGTTGACCTTGTATTTATAGCTTATTGTGGCTGTCCCTTGTGGTTAGGATCGTATTATGCAATGTCACCCTCCCGTCCCAGCTGCGCTCTAGTAGCTTGCCCGTTTCGGGTTTGGTCTAGCATCTGAGGCGGGCTTGGGACTTGTTTTGTATGGAGGCTAAGGTTGGGATTGTGCATTTTATATGGATTATCCTTCTTATGTGTGCAGTGCAACTTAACGTCTTTTGAGCCCATTTTGTTGGTCATAGTTTGTTGTAACATCTCTCCCTCCCCCATCTCAGCTGAGCTTTGTTGGCCGATCTGGGTCGGGTTTGGTCCCGTTCAAGAGGTATGGGGTGGGGTTGAGCCCTGTTCTAAGTGGAGATTGGAGTGGTTTGGCCTCTGCTTTTAGGGCGACTTGGTCGTTGTTGGTACCCAGTGTCTCCCATTGACCTCTCCCTCCCCTTTCCTTGATATTTCCCATCAGTTACCCTATTTCGTGTCCGGTCCCTTTCCCGGGGTGGGATTGGGCCCTATTCGTTGTGGGGGTTGGAGTGGTCAGCCCAGAACATGGTACGTTTCATATGTCTTAACCAGCAATAATATACAGTTTAACAGAACAGTTTGGTCTGTCAACATAGTATCAAGTACAGTTTAACAGAACTTATTCCCCCCCCTCCTGTCCCCGGTCAGCCTTGTAGGATGACCCTTATCAGGTTTAGTTCCTTTCCCAAGGTGTGGGGTGAGGTTGAATCTCTCCCTATGTGTGGGCTGAGGTGTTTGGCACTATACCTTTTGCTTAACAAGTCCGTCAGGTATTTATTGGGAGGAACATCCTTGTGCGGGGTTGCGTTCGCATTCAGTGTGTCCATTTCTGATGGCTGGAGGCCGGAGTGGGCCTTGTTGTTTTGTTAAGTAAGTGGCGCTTTGGACTCTGATTGTTCGGTGGGGTAAGCCTGGGTGGCCCTGTTTGTGTGGGTCTGACCTTCGGGTGGAGCGTTCCTCTCGCAGAGAAGTCCCTTGGGTCGTGGGTTCGACATTTCAGGTTTTCGGCTGAACTTGTCCTCTAGAGGCTGAGGTTTGTCTTTTACTGCTCTGTTGGCGTGGTGGTAGTGAGAGATGGCCTTGGGAGTACGCCTGTCCTGGCGTCGTCCGCGCCATTTTCCGGTGTTGTAAGGTGTGTCCTAGGTCTTTTGCAAATTCCACCATATCGGCTACCTGGAATAGAGTGCAGGTGTGGTTGCCTTTTTTCCCGGTGAGTTTGAAGGGATGCCCCCATGTGTACCACCAGCCCTATTGAGTGAGGGCCGCGGTGAGCAGTTTTAGTTCCCTACATTTTCTTGAGGTGGAGGGGGGCCAGGTCCTGGTAGAATTGGTCTGTGTGGCCCTGCACTTGGGGAGGTCACAATCTAGCTATACCCATGAGCTGCTCTTTAATGTTGAAGTGGAGCATCTTTAGGATGACGTTCCTGGGGGCAGATGGATTGAAGGCCGGGGGACGCAGTGCTCTGTGGGCCAGCTCGATCATGAGCTCTGTATCCGAAGCCTCTGGCAGCAGCTTTTTGAACATGTCCTGCATTGTAGGGTGCAGGACATCCACTGTTATTGATTCTGGTAGGCGTCTGAGCCTTATATTGTTCTGGCGGTTGTTTAGGTCTTCCAACTGTTGAATTTTG